AATCTTTGGCGGGAAATTACTAATTGAACGGCTGGGTCATTTTCAAAAAACGACCGCTAAACGGATGTTGTCTATTTTTTTATGAAAAATTTACGATGAGTTGCGGTATTGAGAGCACAGGGTAGGTGTAAAAAAACAATCACTCATGCAGTTAACCTAATTATTTCAAGTCTGGTGCAAAAACGCATGATCGTACCGGCTCGCCTGGTGCGTTCCAGCCTGGGTTGCCTATATGCAAATTGCAAAAACGTATATTGGGACGACCCTGTCTGTGTGTATATGTATGTATGTGTGTCTGTATGTTCGTGTCTGTGTGTTCGTCTGTCTGGGTATTTAAACTCGGCAACCAAGCAAGTTCCAGCGCTGAAATTTTGCTAGTGGTTACCCCGGCCAATTACCACCCCAGAACCGCGGTACCATCCCTCACGCACGTCTGGGCCTCGCGTACGAGAAGAGGAAAGTTTTGGCGGGAGAACTGACAACTCGGGAACGGGAAAAGATAGAAGGCTGAAACTTTGGGAGTACGTGCCCGTACCGTGCGCGACACTCCCATTTTAATATCATCTCCTGCGGACTCCTGGGCGCAGGTACGGGCCCCTTAAAAGAATATGCAAATTTTTTGACGGGAGAGCGATCTCTGGAATCACACGAGCTAAAGGACTGAGCATGTACTGGCTATAGATTTCAAATTCAGCCTCCAGGTATGCGTGGTAACCAAGTAAGAGCGTATGAAAGTTTTAGAAGGAAAATTGCTAACTCGTCAACCAGGAAAGCTAGAAGTTTGAAATTTTACGGGAATATTCCGTGTCCAAGTTCAACTTAAATGTTTTAGATCCAGCCCTCAGGTGTGCGTAGTACTCACGTAAGGGTGTATGAAAATTTTAGGGGGAAAATTACTAATTCGGATACCAGAAAAGCCGGAAGGTTGAAATTTTCAAGGAATGTTCCCAGCCCATATACGACTTAAAGCTACAAACTCAGCCCCCAGTCATCCATGGTTCTCGCATATGGTCCCGTGAAATTTTTTGGCGGGAAAATGGCCAACACGGGAACCAGGAAAGCTGGGAGGCTGAAATTTTCAGGGAACGTTCCAGGCACAAGTTCGACATAAACCCATCAAATTCAACCCCAGCCGTACGTGATTCTCATCTACGGCCCCGTGAAACTTTTTTGGCGGGTAAATGACTAACTCTCCTAAAGAAGACGAAAGGCGAATGTGTTTCAACTCTCTGACTACTTGGCTCGATATGATGTTAGCAGTAGCCTGATGTAAATAAGTGCAAAGCATCGACCGTGCTGTTGATTTTGAACAGCTCTCGCTGAATTGCATTCAGCCGTTCCATTGCTGATGCTATATTTTCGAATATTCTTGGCACTGGCCCAGTTGTAGAACTTTTAAACTGTAAGGAAAGTAAGTTTTGAGAAATCAAAGTCAAAACTAATGATGAGGCTGAAATTTCTGTGAAAACATAGAAAACTTACAGGTTTAGGGAAGGCGATTTTCAGCAACATTATGAGTATTAGTAGTGCCATTATGTTGTTGAGAATTGGAAACGCAAATGTGATTTGGACGTATAACCAGAGTTAATGCCTTCGTGGCATATCGTTGACATTGTGTTGAACAACGAGCAACGGGTAAAATATATGCTTGATAAAATCACTAGAGATGCGAAGCAGGAGGGTCCGTGTGATCGTGGGTTTTTGCAGTATTTTGTGCTGAGATCGCTCGAAAATCCAGTAGCTAGAAATTGTAACATACTGGCCCTCAAAGTTCGGGAAATTAATTGTGTTACTATGCGATACTTGGACAGGGGGCAACCCCTTTAAATTTCAGCCTCGTGGTTTTTCTGATTCCCGAGTTGGCGATTCTTCTCGCAAAAACTTTCACGGTGCCATACATAAGAACTGCGCATACCCGGGGACTGAATTCGAAAGCTTTAAGTTCTACGTGGACGGTGAACACTCTCTGAAAATTTCAGCCTACCAGCTTTTGTGTTTCCCGAGTTAGAGGTTTTCCCGCCAAAATTCCGTGTGATCGTACACGAGGCCTAAACCTGACGAGAGTTGTTGTCGTGGTCCCGGGGTGGCAATTGGCCGGCGAACCCACTGGCAAAATCTCAGCAAGGAGTGTAAGGGTTGTGGTGTTGATAAAATAAATAAAACGAAATAAACTTTTATAAAGAACTGGGTTATAAAGGGTTATAAATCAACCCACACGATGTCAACGTAGACTTCTATATCAAAAGCAAAACATCGGCTGAAAAGACTTATATGATTCTTGGAGCAAACGGCAGCGCAAATTAGCGTTTTGTTAGTTGCATGAATTCGTCTGAATTTGACATTTGGACGTAATTTTGGATGGGCAACATCAGAACGTCCATGCATTCTTTAAAGCTCTTGGGTTTACCAAAAGTAAACTATACCAAATGCTTGTTTTCACAGATGAAGTTGTACTATTTGCAGAAAATCCGCAGTGTCACAGAATCTGTTAAATGAGCCATTTTCAGATGGATGGGTGAAGCAGAGGTGAGTGGAGGGAGGGAGGGCCGAAACTGGAGGTATGAGTTTTGAGGAGCCGTAAAAAAGCCAAGCTGACTGGGTTATTAACTAGAAAAGAACTAAGAGCTTGATTGAAGACAGGAATTGGAAACAGAGGCAGTTTTTTGGGGGAATAGCTCTGTGAGCTTTCTGTGCTCGGCACGAAACTTAGTCCTGGGAGAAAGTTAGCAATTTTGAATGTGACACCCACAATCTTACCGAGAAGAAAATTATTTTCGGTTTTGCAGCTCGAAACCGAAAATGACTGCATAATGAATAGTCAGCTTTTAGTAGGGCAACTACTATTCCTTGGTTCGGCTAAGCCAACGCTATTTCTCGATACCGTTCGCCGGAGCTACTTGGCACTTTGCGAGGAGCGTTTGACGGCTGAAGAGAGTGGTTGGGGGTGCTGTGAAGGGTCTAGTGTGATTGGGGGTGGTGGTGGGTGTGCGCCTAGATACAGCTCCGGAAGCACGGACTGGGGCAGGATAGATGGGAGGAACAAGGGTTCTAGTGAGGAGTTCGAAACGATCATGGTGACACTGGTTTGGACGGGAGTGGGTGACGGGTGCCTAGATGCTGCTCTGTAAGCGGAATTTGGTGCAGGATAGAGAAAGGAGCCAGGGGCAGTAGTCATGAGTTCGAGAAAAGAACTGATGACGACAGTAAAGAGGAA